ACCCATTTTAGCTCTTTGTTAAAACTCTCTCAAAGGTAGAACTTGCAGAACCACAGGGCTAGGGGTTGAGCAGGCTTCTGAGATGTCTGGAGGAGGGGCCCACAATGTTTACTTAGGCCCTGGACCCCCCAGAAGGGCAGACCAGGTTTGGTTTGGATCCAGGATCCCCCAGTCGCAGCTGCACGATTTTAGACAGCTTCCTGCCCTTCTAAGTGCTGGTTTCTCAGGTGTAGAATGGGAAGGCCAGTCAAAAGCCACCAGGCAGCTTCCTCAAGCACAGGGACATGGAAGCGGCCAAGGATCCTTCTCCCCCGCCACCCACCAGCTGAGATGGGGGGCTGCAACATGGGCTGGCCTCGCCACCCTCCCAAACAGGGGCAACAAACCACAAAACACTCTTTTTTCAAATCACATATGGCTTCTTTGACCCCATCAAATAACTTTATTCACACAAACGTCCCTTAATTTACAAAGCCTCAGTCATTCATACACATTAGGGGATCCACAGTGTTCAAGGAACTTAAATATAATGTATCATACCAACCCAAGTAAACCAAGTACAAAAAATATTCATATAAAGTTGTTCACACGTAGGTCCTAGATTACCAGCTTCTGTGCAAAAAAAGGAAATGAAGAAAAATAGATTTATTAACTAGTATTTGAAACTAACTTTGTGCCTGGCTTAAAACCTCCCTCACACTCGTCTGTCCCACACAAATATTTAAGAAGTCACTAAAATGTACTCCCCGGCTCTGATGAAAAGAAGCCCCTGGCACAAAAGATTCCAGTGCCCCTGAAGAGGCTCCCTTCCTCCTGTGGGCTCTCCTAAAAAAACACCAGGACGGCCTCCCTGCTGATACTGTCTGTAATCTTAGGGGGCCCTTGGGCAGGCAACGGCAATGGACTCATCTCTTGACGGCTGTAGATGCTAACCCTGGCCAATTCAATGTCACACCTACTGGTTACCCTTTGAGGGCATTTCTCCAGACAGAAGCCCCTCGAAGCCTAGGTAGGGCAGGATCCGAGATGCACCTGTGTTGCCTCGAAGGCTGTGCCACAGCCCAGTATGACAGCTTGGCAGAGCCAGTATCTCTGGATTTCTGCCTCCAAAACCCAGTGGCCTGAAGAGCTAAAAAATGTCAGTTTGGCTCTTCCAAGTTTGCCAGGGCCGAGACTCCCAGGAGCTATGTCTGTCTGGGGGCTGCCAGACAGGCCTAGGAGGGAAAACCAGTCAACGGGAGGGATAGTCTGAGACCCACCAAGAGTAAGTGCCACCAGCGCCCCCAGATGTGGGGGGAAGAGGGGCGCACGGGCAGCATGGCGAGTGGGAGCAGCACTTGGTGGGCAGGGCTGGAAAGAGCCATATGGAACCAGGCAAGGGCAGAAAGTTAGGGTCCCTCCTTAGGGGGTGGCAGCCTGACTCCTGCTTTTCTAAGTTTCCAAAAGATACCCCAAGGCTAAAACCCAGACATCCATCCTATTAAGATGTCTTCTAAGAAGGTAAACAGCTAACAGCATAAAAAGAAAATTCCCACAATGCCAGCTCTTTTCCTTCTCTTAGAAAAAGATTCAAGCAAAAATAATCATCTTATTGCTCCAAACACTGGTTTTCTAGGCTAGGAGACAACTGATATGTTAAGGAGCTGAGATCTTGGAGGAAGGGAATGTGGAGGTGGGGAATGTGCAGCGCAAGGGGGCCGTGAGGAAGGCGGGGAGTGGTCCTAGCACCACAGGGTTGGGAGCAGAGGGAGCGGAGGGCGTTCGCCCCTGCCCGGGGCACCTCTGCCCTCATTCACTTAGGGGCCCCCCTGGCAGTGCCACTAAGGAGGCCAGGCCCTGTCCAGAGTCAAATCTCCACCCAGTGTTGGGTGTTTCTCCTCTGACTGTAAACAGGGTGTTTCTTAAGTAAACATTTAATATACTCCCTCAGAAAGGCAGCCACAGGGGCAAACTATGTCCAGGTGGGAGGAAAAAAATTCCCATTCTCCTGACCCAATGCCTCTGGGATGAGACGAGGCTAAGGCCTGCAACCTTAGTCCCCAGTGCCCAGAGAGGGTTCAGACGGGGCCAGTCTCGAATGAACAGACTGAGGCATCCTCCTGGCTAGAGGTAAGAGGCAGAGAGTGTGCACCTGTCCAAAGCACAGTTTTTCTGTCCTGGGCTATAGCTGCAAGTGAGTGCCCTGGTGGTGGTGGGGAGATGCGGACCTGGCTACGGCCCTCAGGAAGAGGGTGTGCGGGGTGAGAGGGTGATCCCTCCCCCGTGGCTCTCTGGGAATGAGAGAGACAGTGAAAGAGCAAGTGACAGAGGACACAGATAGGGAGAAAGAAGCCACGCACTTCCAGCTGAGCCAGGAGGCCTGGTCAGGGGAGGACAATGGAATAAGGCACTACAATCTGTCCTGCTGATTCTTCTGATGGGAAAACCAAGTTGAGATCCCTAACAGCCCAGGTCAAGAGCCCCCTTCCAATGGGCTATCCTTGCTACAGACCCAAGGAGAATGAATGACTGCCGTTTTGAGGTTTGAAAACTCCTAGAACTTGGACAGGTCCTACAAACTTGGCGGTGCTGAGCTGACGCACCAGAGAGCTGCTGACAGCCTGAGACCCAGTGAAGATGCAGGAGTGGGGACGCGACAGCAAGTGGAAGCCGATTCACAAGGGGACAGGGGAGAGTGGCATTGAGAAGACTACAGGTGCTACCTGGGGCTGAGCCGTGGCCAGTTCTCTCACCATGGAGGAGTCTGCTGAGTGCCTGAGGTGGGCAGGTGTTTGAGAAAGCAGGGGAGAGATAAGGAGGAGGGGCAGGCACTTGGGGCTAAAAAGCTGGCCTGCATTTACGCTACGGAAAGAAGTCATGCCACTAAGCAAGAACTGGAAGATGAGGGGGCATGAAGGCTGGTGACCCCTACCAGGCTGCCCACCTGACACCTACAGGGGTGCTGTTTCTTGCTATTCTGATAGCAAGAAAAATAACAAAGGGGAAGCACGATGGCTCCAAGAACTTACTATTTAGTTAGAGCTACGGGACCTGGGGAGGGAAGAAAAAGAAAATAAGGGGCTCATTAGGCTGGAGCCTCACTAGGGATGTTAGGGCGTGGGCTGCAGCCAGGGACGGGGGTGCTGGGTTTGGGGACTGTTTTTCCCATTTGCTCACGTACAAAGAGACAGCTGCCCCCAAGAGAAGGCAGGGTGGCGGGCAGAGAAGGAACGTGCACTGCAATTAGGGGACGCTGCTGTTCCCATCCTCTCGGCTACAACTCAGTGCACTCAGGAGGCTGCCTGAGAAGTCAGAGACAGGAGACAGGCAGTCACAATGGGTTTTGGCCCAGGAAGGGAAGGGCCTGGTTATCACCTGTGGGATCCTGCTGATAGCAGTCAACCTTCCGCTCACAAGGAAGAAAGCTTGGTGTTAAGGGGGTGAGAGAAGGCTGAAAGAATGTGAGCAAACGTTGCTGAGCCTGGCCTGATGCACTGTTCGCTCCCAAATTCTCAGGGCCAAAGGATTGCCATTTAGCAGGTAAAAGCCCCTGCCTTGGTCACATAGAAACGGAAATGCCCTTCAACCATCTCCCCTATCAATCCTATGCTGGTTTAGGTAAAACAAAAAACAAAAACGAACACAAAAGGATTCCCTTCCCCCTCCCCAGAGGCCCTATACTATGTGGCCATAATGGGGTGAAAAGCCTTCGGAGTGGCCAGGCAAATCCAGACAGGGAAAACACAGGAGCATTGCCCCTTCTTGCAGGGGGAGAGCAGATGGGTTCAGAGCAGCAGCCCAGGGGGAGGGAGGCTTCCCCTAGGGAGATGCAAGTGTCGCTGCAGAGTGCAAGGATGGCTGCCGCAGACAGGCATGGGTGGCGGGGCTGAAGCATCACGGCTGGGGAAGCCTGAAGGTGGGGAGCCCACAAATGGGCCCCTAACGCTGCAGGGGGTCTACCCAGTCCCACGACACCTCCCTGCTCTGGCCAGGTCTGCTGTTTTCCCATTGGATACGTCTATACTGAGGGCAGGCACCTAATAGTAAGTCTCCAGGGGTGAGGGAAATGGCGCTTGACATTATGTGTCACTGCATATGACACCACGGACCCCGGCACACAGGGCACGCCCTTCACTGTGAGGACACGACAATGGCAGCCAGTTCAGGACACCCTGTTATCATGGCAAAGTCACAACCAGATCTGAGGGCCTCAGGCCGTCTCTGTGACACATGGACACTACGGAACACATGTGGGAAGATGACAATCCAGGAGGCAGTTAGGTGAGAAGTGCTGACCTCATGGCAGTGACAGATGCCTGCTGAAGACCCAGCTGTGTTCCACACAGTTTGGCACAACAGTTGTTCCCAACAGAAAGGCAGGCTTACAGCGCTGGGATGGCTGCTCCACCGCCAGCAAGTGCGAGATGGTCACCCTCCACCCCTACCTCCCCGTTCCCTGCAACACAGGGCGGAAGAGGAAGGGATCCCACCACTGTAAGTCCTGGTGTGGCCTGGGGCTCCCAATAGCTTAAACAGAACAAAGCCTGGACTTGAGACCTTCTTAGTTCTCCTGGCCAAACCCTGGCCTTCCTCTTCCAGGTGGTTCTTCGCCTCTGATCATCTCCGAGGCCCAAGGGCTGGCCAGGGCCAGCCCACCAAGGAGTCCGGGAGTTCCTGCATCTGGCAGGGAGGCGTGGCCCAGAGGCCTCCTTGTGTCCTCATGCCCCATTCCAGGAGAAACCCCCAGGTTCCCTATGGGGAGGCAGGCCTTCTCTGGGGAAGTGAGGTGTCATAAGTAGAACTGAGAGAAGGATAAAGAAGGAAGACAGAGGGAAAGTGAAGGACAAAACCAAAAATAGCTCCCTAACCCCTTATAAAAAGTACAACTGAAATTTATACATATGCCTTGTCCACACTGAATTTCTTTAAAGAAATTGGTGCCTGTCCACAGCATTGCTTCCTGCTCTTCTGAAGTCTCAATGGTTTAAATTAAAATAGAAAAAGGAAAGAGGAAAAAAAAAAAAAAAGAAAAAGAAAAAAAGAAAGCAAAACAAAAGAAGCGGGAAAACCCAAACAAAAGCTTCACATTGCCGGAGATCCAGCTGTCGGGAGATCGCCAACCGGCCAAGCCACCACCTGTACCCTCTGCCGTCCTCTGTAGGAGACGTGGTGAGACTGTGGGTCCCGAGGAATCGACCTGGAAGACAGAAAGTGGGTAAGGAGGGGACATTGGTCAGTAGGCCTGGGTACCAACTCCCAACCCAGAGGAACACTGAAGTTGTGTGTGCTGGGCTCTGTGGGGCAGAGCTCTAGATAGATAGGGTAAGTCTAGCTTCACAACCTCCCTGGTCTAGACACACAGGCTTATTTTTCAGATAGGGAAACTGAGGCTCAGGTTAAGTAATTTACCGAAGATCACACTGACAAAGGGGCAGACGCTAGCTGGGAACCCAAGCCTGCTGGCTCTACCTGTCAAACCAATCGTGAATCCTGGCTTCCCCGTACTATCAGGAGCAAGACACCGCAGGGCCCACCCTGGACAGTCTGTCTCCACAGACCCTGCTAGCATTGCTTCCACCCATGCTTTCTTCCCCATTCTTTGTGACTAATTGTGCTTGGTTATAAATGCCACAGCAACCCTCTCTAGGTTCAGTAATCCTGTTTTACAGAAGAGAAGAGTGAAGCTCAGGCCTCTGAGAATCCAAACCAGGCTACCTGCTAAGGTCATAAGAAGGGCCAGAATCCCACACCCAGGGGCAGGGCTGGACCAGGCTGCACTGTCTGCTGCAGTGCACTGTGGGGGTTAGGAACGAGGGCTCTGGAGCCAGAACGGGTGACTGAGCAAACAGGAGCTTCCACTTGACTGTGGGGAATTTAAGTCCTCTGTTCCCTGGTCTCACATCTGTAACTGCGTCACAGGCTATTATGAAGATTAAACAAACGTAAAACCAAGAAGAGTGCCTGATCCTATTAGTATTGGCTATTATTTGGAAACTGCCTTAGTGCCAGGCCTCAGGTATAAGACAGGAAGTCTGCCCTTCAGTGGCTTATTCTACTGGAGGCCGAGAATACAAGGGCCCACAGAGATTAGTCTTGGGCAGTCCCCGCTCTGAGCTATTGGATCAGTGCTAAGTATAGCACTGTCCTGGGCAGGGCGGGCCATCTAGGGCAACAGTGCTCCAGCCTGGTTGCACATGGAATCATCTAGGAGGTTTTTTGAGACAGGTTCTTGCTCTGTCACCCAGGTTGGAGTGCAGTGTCTTGATCACAGCTCACTGCAGCCTTGAACTCCTGTGCTCAAGCGATCCTTCCACCTTAGCCTCCTGAGTAGCTGTGACTACAGGGCACATGCTACCACACCAGGCTAATTTTTGTATTTTTAGTAGAGACGAGGTTTTGCCATGTTGTCCAGGCTGGTCTTGAACTCCTGGGCTCAAGTGATCCACCTACCTTGGCCCATCTAGGAGTTTTTAAAGTGCCTGTTTTCAGCCTGAATGACCAAAGCAGACAAGTCTTTGTGCGTGCAATCCCCCAGCGGCTTCCTTTGTGAGGCAGAGCCAGCACCGTGGCTGCCATGACTTGCCACCTGCACAGTCTGACAACACCAGCTCGTTGTCCTCAGCTCCTGGGAAGGGACCTGGCTAGTCCTCCCAAGAGGCAGCAGGATAGGACAATATTGGATTATTTACTGCCTGTTGGCCTCAGTTTCTTCCTCTGACCACTGGGCGTTCTTGGTTGAGGTCTGAGTGGAATGACTCAGGTTCCTGGCCCATAGCAGGTACGAACATACTCAATGAGTCCACCCCTTCCTAGCCAATTGTCCCCAACCAGAGACTATAAACGTGTTAAATCTGAACAGGCCATGATTTTCAGCCATGCAACCATTAGAAGTGTTTCCTGCTGGTGAGGGTGCCCCCCACACTGCTGGAGGAGGGGAAAAGCTTCTGGAAGGTAGTCTGGCACTGTTTTTAGGGCTTCAAAGGTGTTTAGACTGGTGGCTCCCTGAAATTCCACTCCTGAAAGCCAAGCTTAACAGATAAACCTAAATATGAAAAAAACTTTATGGATAAAGAAGTTAACTGAAATATTTAAATTACAAGGCAATAACTCACAAGTCCAAAAATAAGGATTAAGTAAGCAAATGATCCTTCAACTCACTGATATACTACAGAGGAAATGAGATCATTGCGTGACATTTTGAAGATTATGACAAAAGCACTTCCCTGGGGTAGGTGGAAAAGAGTAGGTTACAAAGTTGTGTAGCACACAGCATGACCATAACTATGTAAAAACACAAACCCCCCAGTGTAGGAAAATCTGACAAGAAATACACCAAAATGTTGTGCTTGTTGTGACTGGATTTTCCTCTTCCCCTACTTCTGATTTTTAATACTGAACACACACCAATGTCACATTTCACTTTTTAATAGGAAAAATAGGGTACTTCAAAGAGCAAGAAAAGCCGGCAGCTCCAATAGAAAGGTCCAGATGTGGGGTCTCGTCTGGATTCTTCCATGCCCAGTGGACAAAGGAAAGCTTCCACACTGCCAAACGGGAGGTTAGACTGTGTGACTCCCTGCTCTACCAGCCCAAGGAGCGGGTGACCCAGAAAGTGGGTGTGGCTGATCTGGAAAGAAAATACAGGATTTCTCCAGCCCAGTCTTTCACTCTGCTGCTTCTATTCCTTGGTCTGTTAATTCCGCTAAAAAAAAATCCACTAGTGGGTCTTGTATCCCCGTTTTTGACTTGGAAAAAGAAAATCATCATAAACATATTCCCTGATGATTCAGCAGCCATCTCAAACTCTAGCTCTATTTAGCATGCCTATTGCTTTCTCTCTGTGCTTTCCGTAGACACAGCAGATCAACCTGAAGATGGGGGAAGAGGGTAAATAGGGTAGGCCCTTACCATCTGAAACATTAAGAGCAACGACGAGAAATTATACAGCCACATGTGATGTGCTAAAATAATCTTTGGGACCAGTTATGACTTTCCGGCATTCCTTTCCTCCCTCCCTGCGGACGATCTCCTGAAAAGGATGTCCATCAGCAGGAAAGTAGCACGTGGCAGCTAAAAAGCAGTGTTGGCAAGGAGGCAGGTTCAGAAACCAGAGGTTCCTTTTTACATAATAAACTAGCAGAACACAGTGTGACTGCAGAAGGTCAGACCAACAGCACAGCACTCTGCAAGAACTCCTCAGACACCAGCTTGTAATGACCACTGTAATCACTGGGTCCCACGCCAGGAAGTGAAGCTGACATTTCCCAAAGGCTCCTCCCTGCTCCCTCTAGCCCTGGCGCTGGCTCTGGTCCTCCTGTTGGAAGCCTCAGAACAGCCTACAGGTCTGAGTCTGGTTCGCTCTTGTGGGCACAAAGAAGGAAAAGAAGAGGGCTCTCCACTGGGGAGAGGATCTTGGCTTGGGGTTCTTTTCCCGTCGGCCACCACAGAAAGAGCACTTTTCCCAGGGAGCTAACAGCACAGTAAGCTCACCGAAGGTAATGGAGGCGCTTTCTGTAGCTATGAACAGGAATGGCTCAGACCACACGGTTCTGAGTTTAAGCAGCAGACCCTCCCAGGTACCTGTGGGCACAATAAAGGGTGTAGGTCTCAGTCCCAGTGGGCCCTTGGAGAGGCCTTAGGCTTGTGGTGCTTCATCCTAGCAGATGCCACATCTCAGCTCCCTCACCGCTCAGGCTGTGCCTGACTGCCAGGCTACCAGCTTCCACCGGGGCTCTTATCCCTCTCTGTGGAACCCCTATCTCGGACCAGAGCCCGCTCCTTGAGGGCAAAAGTCACACCTGCTAAGCATAATGAAAAGCGGTGATGTGATAAACCTGCAACTGACATCTGTAGTGCCCTTCCATGATTACTGTGAGGAGGGATTTGGCCAGTTTTCACAAGAAAACAGGCCCAGAGAGATGGAGCAACTTGCCCCACACCAGAGTTGCTGAGCAGTAGAACCAGCACTTAATCCAAAGTTTTCCAGCTTCGCTACCCAAAGTTTCTGCACTATGACAGTCTTCAATCAGTGCTTCCAAAGCCGGCTCAGCAATGGTTCCAACAGCTTGCATCTGAGATGATCCTGGGGGTGGAAGGTGCCAATGATCTGGGAAAACGTGCTATGAATCCTTACCTTTCTCATTTCAGCTCTTGGACCAAGTTCTCTCAGTGCATCCCACCTTCTTATTTCTAACTGGCATAACAGCAATCACTTACTGAGCAGTCTGTATGTGCAAGTTCTAACTACATTATAGGGAACAACCTTGTAAAGTCACACTGCTTTCCAATCACTGTCAAAGGATCGAGTGTTTTATCCATTGCCTCATTTCACCCCGGCAACCCTAAGAGGTAGGGGTTATTGTCCCCCTAGTCTTAGAGATGAGAAAACTGAAGCTCAAGAGAGAACAGCCTCATAGCCAGTAAGTGGTAGAGAAAAAGGTTTAACTCAGGGCAGTCTCACTCCAAAGCCCCTGCTTTTCACATGTAACGATGTAAAATCCCTTCCTAGAGAAGACAAGAAGAGCTTAAGTGGAGTTTAAAACCCATCTAATCCCTTCATTTATAAATAGACTCACTCAGAAAAAGGCTCATGGAAGGCTTACGTGCCGGTACACAGGTCTAGTGCTCGGGGGACAAAGGGGGACATGGTGCCAATGAGGCAGTGAACAGTCTTCCAGCAAGCTCCTCTGCCAGTCAGGCAGGTGTCTGGTCTGTTTAAGGAGACTGAGAAACTACCCTCACGAAGGCCATTAGCAGCTTGGAGAGCAGAAGCCTGGGAGATCTGAGGGGAACATGCACAGGAGGATGGGGCTGGAGACAAGGATGGCTCATGTGTTCACCTCCTTCCCCTACTCCTCAGCCTGCAGGCACAGAATACCTTGGTGATTATCCCTTACTCTAAAAGGATGACCTTCCTACTTTATTAGTGTCAAAATGTCATTACCTTTTGCTTTCTTTTCTAAGACACAGGGTCTCACTCTTTCATCTAAGTTGGAGTACAGTGGCGCAACCACAGCTCACTGCAGCATTAAATTCCTGGGCTCAGGCAACCCTCCTGCCTCAGCCTCCTGAGCAGCTGGGATTACAGGCACATGCCACTACACCTGGCTAGATTTAATTTTTATTTTTGTAGAGACAGGGTCTCACTACGTGACCCAGGCTGGTCTCAAACTCCTGGCTTCGTTCATGCAATCCTCCTGCCTTGGCCTCCCAAAGTGTTGGGATTATTATAGGCACGAGCTACCATGCCTGGCCTAAAACATCATTTGTTTGGTGAAATGATGATGAAAGTATGAATGGTTTTAAAAATTGCTTCCCTCCCGGACCTGCCTCCCCAGTTTTTAAAATTGCACCGTCTTAGGAAATAAGGAAGTCTGGTAACCACGAGGTTTATCTTCACTCCAGTGCTCTCTCAGGGAAGAGCACAGGCTCCACGGCAGACAGTCCTGGTTCAAATACAAGCTCTGCTGGAGACAAGGGGTTATTGATCTGAGTCTCCTTCTCCTAAACTAGAAAATGGGCATGGAACTCTTTCCTCTTCAGGGGCCTGCTGTGAAGAGTGAAGAATTCTTCAAGTAAATTGCCTGTCATGGCACCTGACACAGGGTGGGGCATTCAGTAAGATCCATCTTGCTGTCATTCATGTTAATGGTCATTTTAGTTCTTAGGGTATCACAGACTGGGACTTCAAACCCAAAGCCCAGTTTTCTCTTTCTATCCTGCCTCTCAGATCTAGTTAACAGAAAACAAAGTCATCCCACTGGCTACTCATAGACTAAGGCACAGTATAAACTCAAAGTGGGGTATTACTGGGTGGCTAGCCAAGAACTCACTCTTCCCTGAATTCGCCCGCAGCCCTGTGTAGTGGTATTATCACTGAAGCTAATGATGCCCATGACATGCTAGCAGCCCTGCAAGCTTAATACGCAATACCTCATTTGTCCCAAGGACCATGTAAGAATTATCCTCATTTTACAGATGAGCAAACTGAGGCTCAGGTTATTAATTTTCAGCATATCGTGCTGTGGAGCAAGCAGGTCTCATAGGTGCACAGAGGGAAAGTCATCTGTCAGGGTCACAGAGGGCAGTCCTCCCCTTCCTCTAAGTGGGGTTAGCTTCCAAATGAGTCATTCTTCACTTGTTTAATACACCAAAGCATCTGGCTTTTCACATTCAGACATCAACATGCCAGCCCTGGGGGGTTCGGTGGCCCCAGCACGAATGTCTCTTCCAATCAGTCAGAGGCACTGAGGCCAGGAGTCACGCTTTCTGATGCATCATTCCTCTAAGGCTGAGCTCCCAACTGTGGTGCTTAAAGTAGGGCAAAAACAGGGATGACTGTGCTGTGAACGTGCCCGTTGTCAGGGTCGAAGGAATGGGAGTGCAAATGGGATAACACTGTTTTCAGTCTTCAGGTATACAGAAGGAGCAAGATGTTAGGAAAAAGAGGAGCAAGAGGGCAGAGATTATAACAACATATACAACAGGAGCTTCGCAGTGCTCCGTGACAACCCAGAAGACCACAGGTCCACGCCTTACGACATCTGAGCCCTGACCAGGAGACCAAACCAAGGCAGCTCACCCACAGGTAGATATCCAGGGGCAGGACCCTAAGGCAGAGGAGCGTGGCTTGGAGGTGGTGTTCTCTCAAGGCATGGGCTTTGGAGTAGGAAGATCCAAAATTTACATCCCAGCTGACCTTCACCAAGTCAGGGTTCCCCCAGCCTCAGTTTGCTCAGCCTAAAATGAGGAAACGTCTACTTTGCCGGGCACAAAGACCAGTGATAATATACATAGCAGACAGAGTGAGGTGCACAGGAGGTACCTTAGTAAGTACAACCGCGGCTGCAAATCACATCCAAAAATACACAACCAAACTCACAAAACCTCACCGCAGTCACTTGCTGGGGCAAAAATTCCATACCAGATGCCTGGCCTCAAGTTGATCTTCTCTTGAGGTAACAGCCTCCCTCCTGCTTTGGGTCTTCAGCTCCTGCTGGTCTGGCTACTCCAACTCCCACCCCCTGTCATTCAGATCGCACTCACCCTTTGGGTTCTCCTCCATACGCCTTCCCCAGGAAAAACTCCCAGAGGGCCCAGTCTCTATGGGAACTCTTCTATCCCCCTGCCCAGTGAAAAGGCATCGATGACCTCAGATCCCACTAGCCTTGTCGTGTGCTCCGACCTTACCATCTCAGACCCCGAGCTTCCTGCAGGACAGAGAGAGTCTGCTGCTTCTCTTAAGCCTCTCAGGTGACCAAGTAGCAGTGTTGGGTTTTTAGGAAGAACTCAAATACCAGGTGATTGCTAGAAATCGGGAATTAGTACATAGCAATAAAACTTCACAGAATCATTCATTCCACATGATAGGATTTTAACATAAACACATGATTATAAAAAAAAATCTCTGCCTTTGGTTGAATTCCTGCGTCACTGCCAAGTGCTCTGCACATGTTCCCACTGAAAATCCCGGTAAGCCAGGTGCGGACAGTGATGCTCAGAGAGCTGGGCCACTTCTCCAAACTCCAGCAGCTGGTAAGGTACAGAGCTGGGACTGTGTCCAAGTCTGAAGCCCATGCTATTTTTCTACCATGCTACAGGGTGCTGCTCCCCTCTCACACCTTCAGAGCTGGGTGGGAGAAATAAGGCATGGAGGGATTGTAGATTTTCCTGACGTTACATAGCCTATCAGTTACACTACCAGGGGGCTCTTGTCTAGATTTCAGCTCTCTCCACTGCTCCTCCCCTTACTGACTTCTCAACAGGAGGCCTTCTTTCAAGGGGAAGAAGATGGCCAACTTTGGCAAATACATCTGTTTTACGTGGAGGGGGTCCTTGAAATCCAAGTGTGGCTATTTGGAGCAGGCCCGGCCTCAGAATGTGTCCCCGGAGTCCAAGTTAGATATGGTAAGAAGTTAATGAGAAGAGTAGAATTATGACTGGAACGCTGCGGTTTAGTCTGAAGCTATGGACTTCCCAAGATGTCTTTTCTTTTTTCTGAGATAGGGCCTTGCTTTGTCAGGCTGGAGCGCAAAGGCATGATCCTGGCTCACTGCAGCCTTGACTTCCCTGGCTTAAGTGATCCTTCCACCTCAGTCTTCCGAGTAGGGACCACAGGTGCATGCCACCGTGCCCAGCTAATTAGTCTTATTAGTCTTGCTGTCACCCAAGCTGGAGTGCAGCTCACTGCAACCTCCGCCTCCTGGGTTCAAAGTGACTCTCCTGAGTAGCTGGGACTACAGGCGCGCACCACCATGCCCGGCTAATTTTTCTATTTTTAGTAGAGACGATTTCGCCATGTTGGCCAAACTGGTCTTGAACTCCTGGGATCAAGTGATCCTCCTGCCTTGGCCTCCCAAAGTGCTAGGATTACAGGTGTGAGCCACAATGCCCTGCCCAAGATGTTAAAATGCACAAAGCCTCTTTCCAGACCCAACCATCTGTAAAATGGCAAATACATCCTACAAGTCTCTTTAGCTAACAAGCAGTCCAGGAGGTGGAGTCCTGGCTGGGGTGCTGCCAGGTATGGTGGGGCTGGTGGAGGACTACCATATGCCACATTCAAAACATACAGATTGTTTAAAGAGGTGGCTGGGGCAGCCCTACAAAAGGAACTGAGTACCAGCCCGTGCTCAGCAGGGGTCCACCCTTTACCTAGCCACCCCCTGCAGCCATCTTCCAAATTCTGTTCACCTACTTAAGTGTATCCAGAGGAAGCCAGTCCCACGGATTCTCTGAAACGTGGACGGTCGCCCAGGCTATAACAGCACAGATGCAATCACAGGAATGTGCTCACAGGAGGCAACTTACTAAGAGGCACTGAAGTGAAACACAGGAAGATGAAGGATCTTGCCTAGTGCTAAGAGTAAAGGTGGGAAACCTGGTTCCAGGCCTCTCTAGCTCTCTCCCTACTCTCCTCTGGAGACTTAATTTCTTCACCTGCCAAATGAAGGACTTGGGGCCAGCACAGGGGTTCTTAATCTGGACTCCTTCTAATCCCAAGGATGCACAGGTTCTGCAAAGCCCCTGAAGGCTGGGTAGTTTAATGTACATCCCAGGCATTTTTTTTTTTTTTTTTTGACACAGAGTCTCACTCTGTTGCCCAGGCTGGAGTGCAATGACAGAATCTCAGCTCACTGCAACCTCCACCTCCCTGGTTCAAGTGATTCTCCTGCCTCAACCTCCCGAGTAGCTGGGATTACAGGCGTGTGCCACGACGCCCGGCTAATTTTTGTATTTTTAGTAGAGACAGGGTTTCACCATGTTGACGAGGCTGGTCTTGAACTCCTTACCTCAGGTGATTCACCAGCCTTGGCCTCCCAAAGTGCTGGGATTACAGGCGTGAGCCACTGCACCTGGCCCCAGGCATTTTTTAAATGGTAGAATAATACACCATTCAGATTCTGAGAAAGGAACAGGGCACAAAGAATACTGAGAAGTAAGAAGCCCTTTGTAGGCCCCTTATTTATTAAGGCAAAAACTAACTGGACAGCGGCACACGAGTCCTCTCAACAGGGCGCCATCAGCACAGGTGAGAAGTACAACTTGTGTGGCTGGCGCTGAGGGACATCAGGCCAAAGAGTGTTTGGAGGCAGGCAGACTTCAGCCCAATGGACCACAGCCCTTTCTAACAGGGCAACAGTGAGTCCTCCTCCTCCTTGAAGGTTTCTCGCAGAACCCAAGACCCACCGCCACTTTTTTTTTTTTTTTTTTGGGAGATGGAGTCTTTCTCTGTTGCCAGGCTGGAGTGCAGTGGCACCATCTCAGCTCACTGCAACCTCCGCCTCCCAGGTTCAAGTGATTCTCCTGCTTCAGTCTCCCCAATAGCTGGGATTACAGGCGCGCATCACATGCCCGGCCTGAGACTCCCCTTTAAAGTGGATGAATGTCATCAGCAGGAGACAGGCTCTATGCTGCGTCCCTGAAGCTCAATCCACGTCCCACTTATACAAGGAAGATACACACACTCTTGCAGCAACAAGTGGCAGGCCCACGTAAGGCCCAGTAA